AAACATAAAACCATGTCTGCATTTGTGATCGGAGAAATGACAAACAACAAGTGCTACTCTACACTGCTCAAAACTCGCGTTTGAATTGTCAGTGGCAAATCCTTTAAATATGAAAACTTACTTTCAGGCTGTCAGGCATTATTTGTCAGCATCATAGACTGAATAGGGTCAGCATGCGTGCCGAAGGGGAAACAGGAACTGAATTCACCGGAATACTGGCATTGTAGGCTACTCTCCCAGGAAACAGTCCTCGTCCTCCGTAAAATGAGTTGCACACATCGGAATATTTGGTTTGATCTGTTCTGGAACAGTGTTGTAAATACAACTTAACCACTGATTTCTAGTTGTGTCCTCTTTTGGAAGACCAAACAAAGTAGTTTCGCTTTCACAATGAAACACAGCATCTCCACGACATGGCGGCGGCGGCGGCAACAACAATACTACAGCGAGAATCAAAGTTACGCCTTCTTTCTTTGAGTGAACATTTGGGCGGTGTTATGCAAATCTTCCCACACAGTGACGTAGACATGTGGGAGCGTGTTTAAACGAGGCGTTTTAGGAGGGCGTGGGCGAGTCTTAACTTTTATAAAGAATATCTCTTTGGGTTTGAGACTTTAGACTTTGCAACTTTAGAGATCTTATCTATTCACGAACAACTTGTAACACTCCAAAGAGAACGGAAAACTTGAAATCGCATCATATGACCCCTTTAAAAAGAGACACAAATTGTTGACAAAGCAAAAATATGAAGCTATAAAATGAAGGTGGATAACAGGTTTATGTGAGATTTGTTAACAAATCTTTTTTTTTCTAAATCATGCAGCCTATATTAACCATGTAACAAACATTGTTAATAAGGTCTGCATAATTTAGAGAAAAAAATCTAATAGCAATTTTTTGATGATAATTTTAATTGCAGTTAAAAATAATGAAAAAAATCATTAAAATAAAAAAGCTTTTCTTCACAGGTTTTCTGTGCTTGTTTGTATGGCTGCACAATATCAATACTATTATAAAATAACAACAACAACTAATAAACAGCTATTATGATTATCACTTAAATTAATAAATGAAATAAGAAATATTACTATTGTAATATGAGTATATGAAAAACCTTTTATTTTACAGTACAACTTCAAAATGACAATACTAATATTTAATACTTAATTTAATCTTTTTTCAAACCATAAAAACATGCTTTTATTTTGGCAGAAAGTCACAGGGAGCCCTTAAAGATTCTCTTTACAGCATATGTGTTTATTTAATTAAATCACAGCCTTTGTGATTTGATCATTGCATTAAGCCATATCACAATTATGGATTTTGATTAATCATGCAGCCCTAATTGCAGAGATCTGTTTTTAATTTGATCTCCTTTTTAATCCCATCACTCCTGTCTTGGAGAAACCATTGAGATATAAAAGTACTGTAAAAATAAATTTTGTGATTTTACTTTCTGAAATCTCTTGTCTTGATGGGAGGGCAGAGATAGGTCAGTGAAGCCCAGTTTCAGGCCAACAGGGACGCCAGAGGAGAAGGTGTTAGGCTTGTCACAGAAATCTCATTGTAAGGAGAAAGCAGCAAAGTGAAAGAGAAGGAGAACCCTGGGCAAAAGGTGGAAGATGTGAATACACATCGCAATAATGAGCCCCCGTCCACAGGGGCCGAGTGGCAAACAGTAGCGGACCAGGAGCGAAAAGAGCAAATCATGCTTGAGCACATACACACACAGACCTGAGTATATCCTTTCTCTGTGCGCCGAAAGCCACAAAGACCCATTGGGGACAAAGCGAAGCAACAGCGACAATTAATCTCCTGTTATCGAGTCAAAGGCCGACTCTAAATAAAATCATGCAGCTTTTCAGGCAGAGCAACAAAGATAGCAACAAGTTTAGGAGGCCCCATCCTTCTCCCGGTGGATGTGTATATGTGCGGTATGTCGGAGGTAGAAAGGGTGATTGATTACAGCGCGAGTTGCCCAATCATTCACCCTGCGGTGGGGAGAGAGTGGCTTTTCACCCGACGCCGGTTCTTCGGCTCCAGGCTAGCACAGAACTAATCACAGAGTAACTCCCAGCGGCTCTGGGAGGTCAGGGACAACAGCAATGCCAGGACTCATTAGTTAGTCATGAGAGAGAGAGACTGGGTAAGGTTGGGAGAAAGAGGGGGAGATATGGCAGCAGATGAAAATCTGGCAACTTAAAAAAAAATAAAAATAATTATAATTAAAAACTAGCAGAAATGCCATGAAGTTCTAGTTGTTTTGGGGGTCTTGTTAATAAACATGGGCAATTTAAATGTGATTTTTTTTCTTGAGAAAATGTTGATCTTTTCAAGGTTTTTTTTTTTTTCAAACGTTGTCTCAGATATTTATTGTCGATGCTGCTTTAAAAAAATGCACTGCAAAGTAATATTCTTAATTTTATTAATTATTAAGTTAGTTAAATATATTAACTTGAAAACAAAATCACTTGAAAAAAATACTGTACATAAAATTATTATACGTTATTTTTCACACAATATTGAGATAAAACAATATGAGTTACATTTTTTTTATCCATTGTCATTTTTATATTTTTTAAAGCATGAATCTAACAAAATTTAGTGAGGTTTATTTTCAGAACAAGACAAAAAACAAATATGTTCAATGCACTTGACTGTTAAACAGTGGCAAAAATAGTAGTTGTTGGAAAAATTAAGTTCTTACTGGAAAAGCAACAATATTTTGAAATCAGTTGAGCTACTGTTATACTATTGAACACTGTAATTAAATGAGTGTTGTTGTTAATTGTGCTACTTGTCAAACTTGTCACTATTTCCTTTCCGTAGATACAAATGAGACTTTTGTTGTACAGTAAGAACTGTAAAATTGGCATTTATATCATTAATAGCTCTGATAATTTGGTCTTGAAAGAATATGTTGGGAAACTCCATTTGATCATCAATTAAACTCAGTGCTGTCTAGAAGAAACAATTGAGAAAATATTTATTTGTCATTTTTTGTCCTATGTGGGTGATCTTGAAGGAGCCATTGCATCAGTGTAAAATCTCTTTATATAAATTCATAGAGTAATACGATCATCTCTTACTGTTGATTAGATGGAATATTTCCCTCCTCTTCTACTTAAATAGATGCGTCTCCATATTAATGCACAGCAATCAAGCACTTTCTGATTTGTTAGTCAGTAGCTGCAGGGGGAGATTCTGCAACGCATGCTGGAATAATGGAGGCGTGAAAACCACAATGCAAGAGCTGATTATCAGATTTAATCTGACAGCTGGTCTCTTTTCTTCAGATACAGGGCTTGAAGTGATACACTACGCAGGTCATAAAGTTAGAGATGTAACTGTTCAGGAAGAATGTTCTGTTGATGTTAAGATGAAATATGGTCCCAAACTGAATTGAATTAAAAACTCTATGAGATCATCAGAATATTTCACTCTGCAAGGTTAACTTGCACATATCCACCTACACTTTAATGCTTGCATTTGTTTAATTACCTTCTTTGTCCAA